GGTTTCATTTAGAGGATTCCCCAAATCATGTCCTTACTTGTTTCTAAATTGTATATGTATACCCATTATATCTGAACTGACAGCTTACAGATTGAACAGTCATTGCAGACCAGGACTGCAAGTGAAGATGAAACCATGGCATGTAGAATTGTCTGAGAATAGTAACTGTTTATAAATCTAAGCACATGAACTGCAAGCCTTGCAGGTTGCAACTCCTTCTGTTATATTGGGCGTAACAGTGTTGTATTCTACCTTCTCTTCAAAACTTAGGCTTGAATCTACAACATATATAACTAGATTTATGAACTTTAGCTACAGCTTCCAGCTGGACACCTAGGAGCCCTTCAAATTAAAACAAGTCATTAAAGAAACAATTTGAATACTCAAGTTAGTATTTGTCTGACTAATAGCATTTCTTTCTTGTCAGGATTAAGCCTCAACTGTTTAGAATATTGTCCAGGATCAATTGTCCAGGATCCAGACAAAAGTACTGGAACACTATAGCCTCCTTGGCATGAGTTAAAAATGAGAACTGATTGTCTGCATATTGATGTCATTTAATACCAGAAATCCAGATGATCTCTCCCAGTGGTTTTGCATGTATGCTAAGTATCATGAGTAACAAAATTAAACTCTGAAAGAACCTAGCTGAACAGTACTCTTTGGAATTATTGTTTGGAAACACTCAACCATACAGGTCTGGAGCCATTTCAAAAAAGTGTTTCAAGGCCCAGGTGGGCTATATTGCCAGAGAAACACCATGATTGACGCTATCAAAAGATGTTTTTTATAATATGGGTTATAAACCAAGGTGATCACTACCATTTCCATTCCTGATTAGGCCTGAATCCAGATTGTAAAGGTTCTTAACATCTCATTCAGGGGACCTTGTAGCTAGCATTCAAAAAAAATGTTAGGGACTAGCTAATTATCAACAGTGCTGAAATCCATGAAAGGCTCACATCTAAAAAATAATAACAATCTCCATTGTCGGTATAGTAGGTTCTCTTCTGGTATTATTAACCAACAAAATTCATATTTGATTAAAAAACAGATGGTTGATCTCAGTCTTCCAGTTTCCTTGTCTACATGCTCATGCTGAACAAGCTGAAATGTATCCATCAACATCAGATAAGTAAACACTTCAGTTGGAACCATGGACATCACTATATATATATGGAGTATAAGTTAAAACAGATGTGATTTTATAGACAAAATTTGTTTCCTAATCGCATTAGACTGCTCAAGGTTCCTTCAAAGTGAGGATCAGTATCTAAATATCCCTTAAACACTTAGCTTACTTGTATTTTGTTTAGGGAAGTATAGTCTGAAGTCTTTGTGCTCTGTTGTTCTGTCTAGCCAATAATTTCATTTTTTTCCCAGAATCAAGGAGCCTAAATGTCAGAATATGTTAACTGCCCAGGATGTTTCCTGACTCATAAGAGCCAGGTTTTGGCCACCCTTTCCAGAGATAACCATGATTTGGATCAGTTTTTCCCTATTTTAGAGGCCTTTCACTATTTTGGGAGTGGGGTCAGCTGATATTAGTTCTATGCTTTGCTTTTTGATGGTCTTGAATCCAGAAAAAGCAGTATTGTTTCCTTGTTGCATGCGATGCAGCAAGAAATTATTCACATGCATGTGCGCACATACATATATACCCCATAACCGGATAGTATATGTGTGTAATGAGACTTCTCAATGCATGCTTACAGTAAATTGTGAGATATTCCATAATCAACCAAATTTTAATTTTTATAATTCCATTTTTCTCCCTTCCAAACCTCTATGGAATGGTCTGTTTCTGACTCTTAGAATATTCTTAACCATACACTTGTATATGCTAATTGTAGGATATAACTTTGTTTGCTAAAAACAATCCCCACAGTATATTCATCACTTTAGTATTTCTGGAAATATATTTCATGCCCATTGCCCATAACATCTGTGCATAATTTCATAACAAACTATTGCATTCAAATATTTTACAAAGAAAAATAAATGGTTTTTATCTTTTCCTGGTAAAGCCTTTACTTTCTTGAAGATAAAAGGACATAGTTTCTCTTATCTGGAGAAAGATGTTCCATTATCTCATTGTAGTTGTAAAATGCTACGTAGAATCAAGAATCTGACACTGTAAAATAATAAACAGATGTTCCCAATGTTCATAAATGTATGGTCTTAATTTTCCTTACTGTGACTTTAGAAGAATGCATTTTGTTAGCTAATCAGTTAACAAATATTTACATGTCCCAATTGTATTCTTCTTCTTATTTGTTAGATTTATATCCCACTGCTTTTCTTTTTTGGCCTCCATTAATTTTATCCCCACAACAGCACCCCTGTGCTGAAAGAGAATTACTGGTCTGGAATGGTTCAGCAAGTTTCTACAGTTGAAGAACTTGAACTAGGATCTCCCCAGACTTAGTCCACCATCTTAACCCCTACACCATACCTAGAAAAAAAAAAGTAATATAATTCCTTCTATTACTAAGTAAATGGCATATTTAAACTTAGTTAAGGGAGTATTATATTCTCTTAGAGCTCTTAGAGAGTATTTTTCAAAGTATAGTAATCAGAGTGACTACAATAGCAAACTAATCCATTTAATCTCTTGTTTTGACAGTTATTTTGGGGGATGTAAAGTAGAAGCATAGTTTTGATTCTCTTTGGATTTATATTTAGTACATGTGGTAGGAACTGTTAAATGAAAAACAATTTTGTTCTTCAGTCTTTTGTTTAAACAACCTTATTACGGCAGCATAGTTTTCCATCTGTTTATTATTAAATATTATTATTTTTAAGTAATAACGCTGCTCTTATTTTGTACAACTCAAGGTGGGGCACATAATGTTCCCACCTCCTATACAGCAAGAACCCTGTGAGGTAGTCTGGGCTGAGAGAGAGTCCCTGGCCCAAAGTCACCCACTTGGCTTTCAGGACTACAGTCTCCTGCAGTTTTTACTGCAGCACCTTCATCATTACATCCAACTGGCTCTCTACTCAAATGTTTGGTCAAATTGTGACCTAAGCATTTCATTAATACAGTAATAGGCTCTCGGATTCATGAGGAATTTGATGCTTGAAAATTCCTATACAAATCATCTGGGCCTTTTGACCTAATGTGTTGTTTGGAATTTCTCTATCCATAGATTTCACACTTTTCCAAATATTGCAAATGCAACATTGTGCAATATAAATGCATTTAAATAAGGATTAAATTACCACCATGCATTTACATGTACAAAAGTCCTTTCTGAGTGGATGAGATCTGTCAGCTTTAAACCAAATAGCTGAGGTTCTGTATTTTTTTCCTAAAGAAAATGCATATACATTTTTGAAAAGAATTTGGCAATAATTATAGGATCTGTTACTCAGTCTATGCCAAACTTCAGAGAAATAATTATAGGGGTCTTGTGAAAAGGGAGTAAGGAAAAAAGTCTAACCCCTCTCTCCCCTCCTCCCCATTTCTTCCATATATGAAAACAGAAGACATTTAGATAACTACTTGTAAATAAGAAACTTGAAAAATTTCAGAAAGATAGGTGTAAGTACTTTTCTTCAGGACATGATCAAACTGATTTGTGATTAGGAAGCAAAGGAACTAACAGAGTTGCTTTTTCCAGCGACCTCCTTGCCACTTATAACTTGCACATTGGCTTGTGCAATGAAAAACTAAGGAATTTGGTAAAGAACTGGGAAGTTAAAATTTGAATTAAAAATATTGTGAAGGAAAGTTCCCAGCCATGGATGTGCATTAAATTATTTTTGACAACATTTTGAACATTAGTTCTGGGTTAGAACAACATGTGCATTTAACCAATTTTGCCTTGCTCAGTAAAATGTGCTCAAACAAGGCATAGTTTAATGTGTTTTGTGATGTGAAGCTTAGTCCAAAATTGCTCACAAAGCTTCAGACAGGTCAATATTACTTTTGATTCCTTCTGAAAGAGTTTCACTTTACCTTAAAGTACCACGGCATGTCTCCTAAACAGCCTAATTTGATTTGTGATGTATTTATATCTGATAAGTATCTCAATTTACATGCATATTCTAAGAGATTCTATGTATTTAAATGAATACATTTGAAAATATTTGTTTAGATCTACAGATTTGAAATTAAGCAATAATAATTATGGATACTTAGCTGCAGTTACCTATATATAGTCTATGGTATTACCTAAACCTCTTGATGTAAAGACTATGCCTGAGGGACTTTGTTCACACCGTGTTACAGACCTGTGAGGATTTAAAGAAAGCCACTTCACATACATTGCAATAGCTGCCTTCATGTGCTGTTCTTAAGTGTCTGTTAACTTTTGGCTTTTGTACATATTTTGTGTTGTGTTACTGAGAACTATATAGTGTGAAATTATATAATTCAAGGGGGG